TAATTTATCATTACATAAAATGTTTTCTATATCGATGTTTTCGATTTGTTTCTTTCAAAAAGTATGGTTTGTAATTTCTAGTGATATTATCTGTGGATGGATCGTCTATGTCCTCAACAGAATGAGATTGATTCGATTGACTTGTAGGCTTACTGTTTCGCAAATGAACAGGTATGATGGATTGTTGTAAATGTAATAGTTGCGTATTGGTTACCTCGCAATCAATTTGCATCATTGTTATATGTTTAGGTGGCGTTGAAAATGTACCTGAAAGAGAAAGACTTATAATACTATGTATTGTCGTTATATATGTCGACACATCACTGAATTAATGTCGCTTTTATTCAAGCATACAGACGTATATATGTCCATATAACAATTAACATTATTTACCGTTTATAGACACAGCAGGTAGAACTAAAGACATTTTAGGTCTAGCTGTGTTATTTTTTCGGGAAGCTGGCAATAATAAATGTTCACCACTAAACCAGACAACATAAAATGTATCGTCTTTTCTTCCTAAAGCTTCAAATAAAGAAGCATGCTCGCTCAATATCGGTGAGAAGATCTCAATTGCGTTATTATTTGAATATTGATCAACGGCAGGAACATCGATCAGTTTATGCATAGTTTTTACTTTCCTATCTCGTGACAAGTACAATTTTCTTCTTGCTTTTTCTTCCAATGGCGATCTCGACAATGATACATTTAACGAATCTGCTTCTAATTTCGTTTTCCTTAGAGCAGTTTGATTATCTTGATCAGACTCACCAACGATCCAACGTCTCAATTCGCTATCTAAACGTATCGATTCACTCTGATTAATATACATTGGACATATTGGTTGATGTGTCGGTACACTTTTATTAAAACTTTCTTCAATTCGATCTTCCATATTGTTATCGGTGTCATCTACCGTCCAAAACAATCTTCTATTATGTTTATCCTCTGTTATAGGTACTGACATTAAACTGTCAGATTCTGTTTTAAAATGTACATTTTGTGAAAGTGTTCCCCTTAAATAAAGTAAAGAGATATTTTATTTTTATGGGTCATGTACATAATCTGTATAAAATATACCGTGCAACAGTTCGCTTAAATAAAACAAATTCAAAATATGTATCTTTATTGAGCTTTTGAGAAAATTTCAAATCTTAAAATTTTACTTTTTTTATAAATAGTTAAAACACGTCTTTAAAAACAATTTTCCTTTTTCTATTCATATGTCATAAAACATAAGATCTAATACATCTAATATATTCATCTAATGTATAGAAATATTGTAAAAATGTGAAAAAATTACATTATTAAATAAGATTAAAATAAAATTAATTTTATATTAATTGTTCTTAATTAAAATTAAGTTATCAAACTTATATTATTAATATTACATTATTAAACTTTCTAGAAAAACCTATTTCTTTCAATTTATAAACATAGCATTTAATTATCAGGAAATTATTGTAATTATAAATATTATATTGTAAATAAATTACTTGCAATTTAATTATTAACATTAAATTATTACTCTCTAAAAAAAACTTATTCCTTGCAAAAATTTATGTTAACGCATAGATAGAAAGTGCATTGCAATGCCACACTTACCTAAAACCATCAATATTGAAAGATACCATGAAAATTATACCGAAAAGAATAACAGCGCTTCCCTTTACATTCTTTTTCGAAGGTTTAAAACTGAAATTATGCTTTTTATTATTATTTGTGGTATCGTTTTCCATTTTTGACAGTCTTTGTTTCAAGATTGTATTTTCCTAAAAAATGTAATATTGAGAAGTAAAAATTTATATTTTTCATTGTGGAAACTTGTAAAAATGTAATGTATATATCTACACATAAAACAAATTATTTACCGATTTTAATTGTCTATTCTCTTCCTTCAATTCAGATACTTGTTTTTCCAAAGAGGATACGTATTCCTTTTTCTTTTTTCGTGAAAGGCAAGCAGATTCTCTATTTTTTATCATTCTTTGTTGTCTTTTTAATGCCTTCAATTTATGTTCCTGATTATTTTTTGGCAAATTTATGAAATCAATCGCTTCGTTCTTCACAATTAATGAATTGGAATTGATTTTATTTTGCATTACTTGAAATGGTGTGTAATTCATGGTTTTGTTTGCAACAACAATGTTGTTACATTTCACAGATCCATTCTTTAAAATAGAAGTATCCATTGACTCAGTAGTATTCGTTGGGCAAATATTTGATATAGTATTGATTATTTTTACATTCTGCGGTAATTGAAACGCAGTAGTTTCCGTCTTTTTATCAGTTGAATTGATATTTAATGAATTTTGTTGTTCATTTGTCGATAATACCCGAAATTTTGAAGGATATAATACTTGCTGTGAATTTGCGTTCTGTGCGAATGTAGCAAAGTCTTGGAGAAAGATAGTATTTTGAGGCTCGTCTGTAAGTATTAAATACGTAAATTTTAAACATATGTATATCAGTATATATATATATATATATGTAAAAACCCAAAACATGTATACATATATACACATATATAGATGTTTTTGGTTATTTTTTTTATGTAGAAAACAATCTGAAATATTGAAAAAATAAAATATTTTAAGTACAACTTACAAACTTCATTGATGATTTTGAAAAGTAATCTATTATCCATAATAACAAAAACTATTTAAGAAAAAAGAAACATATTAAGGGTTCAATTTACCATTTTCGATTAATTGATTATTCTCAAGTAAGTATAATTCTGATCAGGTTAACAATAAATGCGATTGGTCAATTTCAATGGTATAATCAGCCAGTTAAGTTAATCAAAGATAATGAAATTGGCTCTGAATGGATCTTTCAATAGTTCCAACGTTGAATAAAGTCATATGTTCAAATTTAGTAATTTTCAATAAACATTTTTCATTGTAACATATAATTAGAGATTTATCTTATATAAAAGTAATATAATATTTTTACCATATTTTATATTTTGTGCAATATTTATGGGTTGGATGTGAGCATGTTTCGCAGAATCCGCTTTCGTGAGAATGTATTTTGTAGGCTCTGTGTCTTCTTTGGTAATAGGTATGATTTTAACTTGTTGTATTGCACTTGATGAACTTGAAGACTGAGATGATTGCGAAAATGGAGATACACATTGCGGAGAAGAGATCAGTGGTCTTTCTAACATAAACTAAAAAAAAAAAAAATTCAGTTATTAAATACTTAAACTTTTCACATCTTTCGTCGATACTATACACGCCATAGAATATACCTCTGTTTTCATATTTTGCATACAGTTTGACACTTCTTCCATTGAACATCTCACTTGTCTGTCTGAATCATTAGATTCTGAATGATTAAGGCTATTGGGTGACAATGGAAATTGTGCAGTCGGGCTTTCAGGTTCAATCTTGATTTCATTTGTCAACTCGTCTATCTCTTCCAATTCTGTACAAATTCCAAATAAAGAATTAATTATATTTCTGAAAGATTACATTTTAATATATATACCTAAGCTGTTTTCTGCGCAGCTGAAGTCAAGCTCTTTAAAGGGAGTCCATAAGTCGAAAATGTTTTTTACTCCATTATTCGTAGCTTTATCGTAATCCAAGATTGCATCTCCCTCTGGCATGATAGGTATTCCTAATTCGGAACTCCATGATTGAAAAAGATCATCGGGAACAAACTGATTGCTTTCTTCTGTAAAAAAAAACCGTTCTCTGATAATTACAGAATTATTTCTACATGTAACAATGCAAGGTCAAATATCTTTTATCTTATTTTACTTCTTATATGTAATATTAATAAAACATGAAATAGAGGTGACAATAGTACAAAGTAAACAGGCGATTTCGTTACTATCTATGTGCAACAAACATTGTAAATCAGATAATGACATACCTAAATGTTTTATGACAATCACTATATAATAATATCTAAAATATATATAATACTTAACCTAAAAATTCGAACTCTGACAACATTTGTGCCTCAGACGCCGCAATGCCGCCGCCGCCGCTTCGTTGTCCAAACTCTATGCTCGGCATGTTTCTGCTCAACGAAGTGTGCCTCGACGATTAACTTGGACTTTTATATATTGAAAACAATTCACGATGAAGAAATTTCCACTCAAACTAATGACAAAGCGAAAGCCATATGAAGTGTACATACAGGCCGAAAAAAAACAAACATGTATAATGTACAAATCATGAATGTGTATACATATATATATATATATATATGTATTAAACGTATGTTTATATTTGTATTGACATTTAACTGCTGCGGTGGCTACAAACGTAGCGTCCGACATATGCATGGAGGACTGGAGAGAGCATATCGGTGGTGGGGGTAAGAAATTTGTAATCGGAAATGACATCACCAGTCAACCATCTAACGCAATGTTTATCCGCAAACGGCGC